TTACATCAACAGAAAATACTTACAGCTAACAACAATTGTGCTTGTATGTATTCATCCAAATCATGCAAACCGGTCACTGAAAATAAGATTTTATCAAATTTTAAATTTATTTTTTGCAATATTCATAAATCTTACTAGATCACTAATAATGAAATATTGTAGTTAATATCTTAATTTTGTGAAAAAGGTATTTTAATTGTATATTAGCTATTTGTGTGATAAGTGGAAAAGCTGACAATGGACCATACAAGTGTTGAAATGAGTGGCCGTCTGACAATTGACCATAATAGATAAAATGACTGACCGTCCGGTGCTCCATCACAGACAACAAGATCAGCCTGTTCCCCTTCAAAGTGACCAATGATTTCCATGGCAGTAGATACCTACAAATTTAAGAAACAAGTAATATTAATTTTTTTCTGCAATTTTGATTTTTAATAAAACATTTTCTGTGTCATTATTGTCAATTTGTAACGGCCATCGCTAAATTATGGACACTCAACACACATAGCATATTCACTATATACTGACGTTGTACATTCAATCACTTGCAAGTGAAAAAAAAATGGTCGTGGGTTGCCAGTCAGCCATATTTGATCAAAATACAACAAAAATCATTGTGTATTATACATGATTTCTGTGTTAAGTTCGAATGTGATCAGTTAAAGCATGCCAGAGAAATGATTCTATGCACACATGCACAGACGTACACATAAACGAAACTCTAATTAATAATAGCCTCCAATTTGCATGGCACAGACCCTGTTAGTTATCAAATTTAAGATATATAGTTTTGTTTATAGTAATATAGTTAGAACATAAACATGTCTTGAGATATGGATCCAGAAGCTGATGCTATGATTAAGGTGATTTTTTTTTTTGATTATGGTCATCTTGTATTTGATCTTCAAACGAGTACTTGTCCATATTGAGAGATATTGCTGACAAAGCATTAATAAAAACAAAATGGCTGCCAGTTTTAAATACATCTGTATATCTATGACATATACATGTACATCTGTATATCTATGACATACAGATAATAATATATAATATATAAAATATATAATATATAAAATTTGAACATAATCAGTCAAAGACTGTCAGAGATATGGCTCTAGAACTGTATTCATTAAAATAGAATGGCTGCCAGTCAGCTATTTTGAATTTGATCTGAAAAACAATACGACGTGCATCAGGAAGCCATAATGTCCGATCTATGTACCAAGTTGGAACACAATCCATCTGTGAACAGCACAGATCCAGTTCCGAAAAGCCAGAAATGCTTGATTTTGATGATTTTTTAGCACAAAAATGGACGCCATTTGGCCATATTGAATAAGATTGTAAAACAAATTGATATGCATATGTATAATATTATGTACATTTGTGTATGATGTATGTGTGAAGTTTGAATGTGATCAGTCCAGGCATGTCTAAAATATAGGTCCAGATGCATGCACGTAAGCACAAGCATACACACGCAAGCATGTACATGTACAGATGTCAAGTCCTCGTTCACAACGTTTTGGGCAATAGTCTTCATCAGTAGTACATTTTTCTGCAAATGTGTTACTGTGTTTGTTGAGTGTGACCATTTAAGACTAAAATATTGGATGTTTTTAACAAACCTTTGTTATATCTCCCTGTATTTGAATTACACCTGGCAATGGTGCCATTGCTTGTAAATCAACAGCCACAATTTTAGGATCTGCTTCTCTATCTTGACCTCTGAATAAACAAATATAATAAAAAAACACAATGAATGTAATTCATCAAATATGAGATTTGTTTATTTTGCAATTCATACAAACAAATACATTAAACTTTTATGCACATGTGCAGGTGATGGATGGCTCATAATAATAATATTTTGAGGCAATTTCAGGTACAGGAGCAGGCTTCCAAAAAGAATTTTCTGCTGTAGACAATATATTCGTTTTTTATGCTACATGTATTTTTCAAAAGGAAGAAAAAAAGAAAAGTTTGATTGTGTTTTTTTTGACTTTGCCAGAGCTTTTGACTCAGTGGACTACTGGTATTTTTTCTTTACACTGCACATATAGGACAATACAGAAAAAAAGCTAGCAATTGTCAAGTAATGTGAAATCTTGTATCAAAATTGAACGGTTTAAAAGTAACTTTAGTTTTGGTGTGAGACAGGGTAGTATTCTAAATCTTGTTCTCTTATTTTATTTATTGACAAATTATATAGAATGGTTTTGAGTGCAGGTTATTGTAGAATCAAGGATGGTTAGACCAGGTAGAGGATTACACAGGATTAGTTTATTACATACAACTATAGGTGCAGCCATCACACCATGGCTCAGGTAGTGAATACAATACTACATAAAGGTCAATGATTAGTTAAATAGTTAGTTGGTGTCCAGTGGAGGGAGAAGTCAACAGTACTGTTGCCTCCTGAGAATCTACATCTTCAAACACTGCAATCTTTGAAGTGCGTTTTTAAACTAGTATTATAAAAACTCTATCATTCTGTTCTAATAGCTGAAACATATTCCTGTGAGTTTTCATTTGTCGAATGAACTGTTTGTCAAATACAGAATACATATATTTTAGAGTAATTTTCTTTTT